GTGCTAATTATAGGATTTGAAGACTCTAATTCCTAGGTTGCACTGTAACGTTAACATCAAGATGGTCCGCCCTACCATCAAGAGAACCAAGGAGAAACGGAAGCAGTACAAGCGCGTAGTTCATCAGCAAGTGGCGAACAAACGAAGATTGGCTTGTAACAGCGACCACTCCAGTCATTTCATTTTCCGCGATGGTGGAATGGCTACAGTTCTTTTATAAAAAAAGCAGAAGAGCAAATTGTTCTGTGGATCGACTCACTATGAAAGGTTGGCGCGCCCCGTTTCGCGCAATATTATAAAACTAAAAGGTAAAGAGGTTGCAGCAGACGCCGGGCTGGATGACACCCAGGTTTCTGCCTCAGTTTCGTGGCTGCATTTCTGTATGCGCCGCCACAAGCTTTCTTTGCAGCTGAAAACGCGTCAAGGTCAGACCACGCCGGCAGACGCAGCAGAAGTTGCAAGGGAATTTAAAGGGAAGGTAATGCAGACAATTGTTGAGAGAGATTGATTTCAAGTGGTTAACGCCGATCAAACCGGTACGCATGAGCTTGCGATGAAGACAGTGTTCAGGTTATTAACAATGGTGTTGCTGAGCTTGAGCGCAACTAAACTATAGAAGAAGAGTTCAACTCAGGAGACGACATTAGAAGCGAATGCATGGTCAGTGAGGACGACACATGAAGTGGTAACGATGCCGCTTTATAAACTGAAGCACTGCATTGACGTTTGACGTGTGAGAATGTGGACTGACAACTGGTTATTAAATCTGTGTTAAGTCAGCTTTAAATCTTAGGATTTGTATGGGTACATTGTGACACACTTTGTTCGACCCTTGTCGCCTTTTACTAAGACTATACGGTAGACCTCGATTATAGAAAACGACCTCTTTTTATTAAAAATCGAGTAAGTGAAAAGGACAAAATCATTGAAATGAGTTGGGAGCTGTAAATCCCTCCTGGACGCACACGCAGGGTAGGAAGAACAGACACACACTGGGCGGCAAAAGCCAAATTTAGGCACTGGGTATATTAGCAGCAAATTTTTAACTGCAAATTCTCAACTGAGCCCCCTCGCTCCAATCCTTGAGGAATTCCCATAATCCAGTACTAGTGTACTGTTTTTTTAGAAAAGGAGGTGACTATTAATAGTACTGTTTCCAGTACATTTTAAGTTCGTGTTTTAATTTTTACGAACTTAAGCTAGTCGTTACTCCTGATTCGCTACGCGTTCGCTGCGTCATGTAGGTAGTCTTGTGCGCCGTCTTCCTCTTGTTGGTTGTAAAGCCACACGAAGTCGATGGTCTTTAACTCCAAGTCGACTTTGAGCTTCCACGGAAAGGTTTTGGCGGGTTCCCATGTTAATTCGCGATAACCAACCCAATAGACCAGATAAAACCCTATTTTATGAACCCAACGCTTGGCGTAGAGAGGCGTTCTACATCGTAGAGCTCTTCGCTCCTTCCGTGCCGAGCTCGACTACTGTCAAGCAGACCAGACTCCCTCTGACCGATCGTCGTTGTCGTCCAAGCCTCTTGGCTACTGGGAAGGCGCGCATGTAGGTTTTGCTAATCTTGAGCTTACAGAAGGGTCCGTCTGCGCTTCGATTGAAGTTCCCGGCGTGCTTCTTGCGCTTGATGCGCGGCGGCATCTCCATAAATCCTAAATGAAGCGAGTTTTGCCAAACTTGTCTGAGTTGGTACAGACGCTGCTACCAGCTTGAGCAGAACGTTGCGCCGTGCCTTCTGCAGCATCAGTCTCATCGATACGTGCGTCGGCAGTTAGTTCTGGAGGAGAATGGGCATTTGACGGACAATGTGCTGTTGGACACGTCATTCTTAAAATGACACGACAGGTAAAATATAAAATGCTGCTATATGTGCTGTCAGATGTGCGTACTTAAACAGTGTATTAATACTGGATTTTTATGTGGCGCAAACTTACCGGGGCTGTACTGTTTTTTTAATCCAAATTCTAAATTAACTCGCCGATTTTCAGAATCCAGTACACTAGTACTGGATTATGGAAATTCCTCTCCAGTCCTTCTCTCTGTACCCATTGTCTTACACAATACGAACTTCAAGTGCCATAGTGTAGATCAGTATAATCCGCAACAAAATGCACAATAGTTCAAGCACCATAAGGATTTTGTTTAAATAGTACCTTTAAAAGCGCTTGAGGATATAGCGCCTTTAAACTATTTATAATATTTACTGTAATGTAAAACTTACACGTACAATTTTACATTTGCCGGAAATACCTCGTCGTGCACTACATTCTCAACTAAGTTCGAAGATGCTGTTAAGTGCGATGAATCCCGGCCGTTTAATTCTGGAGAAATCAGTGCCACGTGTCATGTAACGGGGTACGTAGCCCTAAGTGTACCCTGGTTACATGAAGTGTGACACTTCACACTTCAGGAGTATGACACGTCATACTCCGGGATATTTGGTACAAGGTACCAAGGTCGTTCAAAGCTAACCATTGGTTAAATGACATTGCATTGCTATGGTAGCTTATAGTTTGTATTAAACCCAAACTTAACCTACCTATAAATATACTCAGTTTACAATCTACCTTATTTAGGTCACTTCCCTCTCTTTAATTAAAGAGGGGACCTGTGAACTGCCGTTCACTGAGAGTTTGTATACTCTCGGAAGATAACTTCCTCTAGCGCAAGGTGCTGTGTGACCCCGTCACACTTGGTAGCCCTCGTAGTCAATCCACGCCACCGCGGGTAGACTACCTGAACCTCTCCGAAGTTCGTTGCCATGGATAGGAACGACTTCTCCCATTTGAACGACTCTCAGTTCGAGTCGGTTCGGAAGATGGCAGGCATCTTCGGGATGGAGGCCCTGCAGAGCCTGGTGGTGTCAACACCGGATGAGCAGCTCGAGCGCGTCAATGCATTTGACGCGTACGAGCAGTGCCTCATCGCGCATGTGCGGGAGAACCTGCAGGCTCCGGCGGCGGAAGCAAATCCGCCTCACCCGAAGCCAATACGGCTGAAGGTTAAGCCGTATGAAGGGAAGAAAGGCGAGAACCTTCACTTCTGGGTCCGAGAAGTTGAGCTCGCGATGGACGCGGCTCTGATCTCGACCGAGCAACTGAGTGTTGCTTTTGCACTCTCCAACCTTAGCGGTCGTGCTAAGCGTTGGATGTGCATTCGGGAAGCAACATCCCCTGGATGTTTCACATCCTGGGCTCAGCTGTGCGA